TTTTATAAAAATTAAAAAATATTATTTTAAATAGTGGAATCCGAATATGGTCCTTCGAATCAATCGAATTTAAAACAAAATATCAATGATCTTTTTGGAAGTGACAGTGAAGAAGAAAAAAAAAATTACATTAACAAAAAAAGAACGTTTGCTATTAAAATTGCATGGGAGAAAGAACTGCAGCAAGTTAGAGGGAGAAAAAAACGACGATTCGGATGTATTGGAAATAGAGGTAGACAACGATTTGTTTGAATCACCAAAAAAGACAGATTTGCAAATACAGTGTCACACACCAGAATTAAAGAATATTCGAATCAGTTTTCAAGTGCCTCAGCTGTTATCGCCGATAGTTAAAACGCCGCAAAAAGAACAGTTATCGTCATCACAACCATATATACGCACACCATCAAATAGAGCACCGCATTCATTTAGTTTAAGACAATTACCAAAGGCAAAAAGTCACGCGAATGATAACACACAGATAAAGAAACCAAAGCATACAACATCTCTCTCGCACACCAATCAATACCATAGCAAAAATTCATCAAACGCACAAGCATATAGTACGCAAACAACACGCGTACACAAGCAATCAACATCTCAAGCACACACGGTAAACGGCATACACACTGATAAGATAAAACATACCTTATCATCAGTGTGTGTTACACAACAACGCAAGCAACGCACGCAACGCACGCAGTCGCATCACATGATACATAAAGTGTCGAATAACGACAATAAAGTACAAGCGGACGATAATGCATCAAAACAATTGATAGGTAATCGATTTGTCTCTCTCTCACATAGCACATCAATTATCGAAAAACACAATTTTGCACAAGAGTTACGTGTTACAAAGACGGTAAATAACATACAGCCGAATACACACACAGTGGAAAGGCAAATCGTCGATTGTTTGGAAGATAAGAAAGCCGTCGAAACGCATCGTATCATCACTTTACAAAATAAAAACGTTCCAGCAGGTGTTCATCTTGCAATAGCAGTAGACAAAAATAGATATTATTCTAAAAACGCACTCAAAAAAATCACAAGAAAATTAGCTCAAGAAATGTAGATTATTTATTGCACAAATATGAGTATTCTATTTCAATAAAAAAAGAGAGAAAAGAAATAAGTCACGATAAAATATATAATCAATTAATATAAATAATTTAATTAGTTGTAAGCGTTACACACATCCGAATTGTTTCACTTAAAATTTTACGGTAACATTGCGACTAGCCGCACGGATTCGTTTCACATTTACGCATAAGCCGCACGATTCCATTTCACATTTAAGTTGAACATTTTAATTTCGCATTTCGAGATTATATTACAGTTTACGTGCAGTTAAATGCACGTTTCCTGTTCGCATTTCGCAGCTAAGCATTTAAGATTTCACGTTAAACATTTTAATTTCGCATTAATATTTAAGTATAAAAAAAAAAAAAAACACACACACACATCAAATTAATTAGAATCATTTAAAGAAATTTAAATTTAACAAACATTTGCAATTAATTAAAAAAAAAAAAAAAAAAAATACATTCATTTTTACTTCTTTTTCTCTTAATAAAACACACATTGATAATAAACATATCATCTTTTCATGTGATTATTAAAATTCCTATAAAGCATATGAATTAAATAATAGAGCATAAAATCAAAATGCCCCCGCAAATACAGAAAGATAAAAAATATTACGAAAAGCAAATAAGAAAAAGAGCAAATGCAATAACTGTAATAAAATCTCAAGAATCAAAAGCAAAAAATGTGGACGAAAATACCGCACAGCACGAATTAAACAAACGTATAAGCATATTGGATGCTGCATATGAAAAATTTTCAAAAAGCACTGCAGAAGCTGAGGATTGCGATGAATATCTTGAAGACGATATAGACCCATCAGTAGAAATAGTAACAGAAACTTATTTAATGGTCTATAATCAATTAAAATCCTTTATAAAGGAGGAAAATACATCTGTTTTGCATTCTACAATGAGCACAACACATCGTCAAAATGAAAAAAAGGTAAAACTCCCTGAAATAAAAATACCAACATTCAGTGGAAACCCCATGGAATGGACTTCTTTCTCGGACACATTCACTTCTCTCATAGACTCAGATCAACAGTTGACAGACGTTGATAGACTCCATTATCTAAAGAGCTCGTTGAGAGATACAGCCCTATCAGCAATTAGTAAATTACAAGTTACAGATGCAAATTATAGAATAGCATGGGATATTTTAACAGAGAGATTCAATAACAAAAGGACAATTGTTAATCACTGTTTGGCACAATTTATGGATCAGCCAAAAATTAATTCATTAAATTCCGCCAATTTACGCGCATTAATAGACATATCAAAAGAATGCATGCAGTGTGTAGAAACTCTAATTGATTACGTCAATCAAGACTGGGATGCAATTCTGGTTTTAATAATTGAACGAAAAATAAATAATGAATTGAGAAAAAGCTGGGAACAACATTTGGGAGGTGCAACAAGAATTCCGTCTTTCGACGAGTTGTTAAAGTTTCTAGAAACGCAGTATAGAATATTATGCACAAGCGAATCAACGGTAGAAAATAAAGCAAAACCTGAAGGCATGTCGACAACTTCTCAAATAGTTCATAATAAAAAATCAGAGATTGCATCGGTTCCAAAGCAACAAGATCAGTGTAGTGTTTGTAAAGAAGATCATTGGATGTTCTTTTGTCCAGTTTTCGAGTCATGGACAGTAAATGCAAGAAAAAGATTTATAACAGAAAATAAATTGTGCGAAATATGTTTACATGCACATGAAAAACAGCAATGTCGATCAAAATATAAGTGTAGAACATGTGGAGGGGAACATAATACAAAGTTACATGAAAATAGTTCAACTTCTGTGCATGCAATATCTGTATATCAAAATCAAAACACATCTTTGGAAAATAATATTAGTATGCCAATTATTCCATCCAATGAAAGATCAAAATTATTAGCAACAGCAATAGTCAAATCAAAAGATAAGTCCGGTATAAATTATTTATTACGTGCGTTCGTTGATCAAGGTTCAGAGGGCATATTAATAACAGAAAGAGCAACTCAAATGTTACATCTAAAAAAGAAAAATGAATATATGCCTTTAACGGGCGTTGGTGATGTCTCACTTGGAAATGCAAATAAATCTGTGCGAATACAAATTGAGTCAGTCATCAATTCATTTAAAATCACAATGAACGCATTAGTAGTAAAATCAATTATGAAGCCACGAAAATACAATGAAGAAAGTGTGAAAAATGGACACATTTAAATGGTTTAACACTCGCAGATCCGCATTTTGCAAATGCAGAACACGTTGATCTTTTATTGGGGGTCGATATATATGGAATCATTTTATCAAATGGTTTACGCAAGGGTTTATTGAACGAACCAGTGGCACAAAATACTGCATTCGGCTGGTTAGTTTTTGGAGCATGTACAGAAAAGAGTGTTTATAACATAAGAATAAATCATTTATCATTGGAAAATGAAATACGTCGCTTTTGGGAAAATGAAGAAGTGGAAATTGAGCCAATTTTAACTCAAGAGCATCAAGAATGTGTTGAATATGTCAATAAAACTATAAAGCGATTAGAAAACGGACAAATGATGGTCTCATTACCGTTTAATATGAACCCAAAACATGAGAATTTCTTGGGCAATTCCAAGCAAATGGCTTTACGTCGCTTTTATCAAATTGAAAAGCGTTTCAGTAGAGATCAGCTATATAAACAGCGTTATTTTGAAGAGATACAGGGATACTTGGATCTAGGTCATATGTCATTATGTAACGATTCAAATGACGGATATGTTTTGCCACATCATGCCATAGTTCGTGAGAATAGAACGACAACAAAACAAAGAACAGTATATGACGCATCAGCCGTAACATCAAATGGATATTCATTGAACGATAGATGTTTAAATGGACCTACCATTCAACCTGAATTATTTGATACATTTATTCGATGGCGAATATTTAAAATCGCATTAATCGCGGATATTGAAAAGATGTATCGTCAAATACTTGTAGCCCCCGAGGACCGAAAATATCAAAAGATTCTCTTTAGATTTTCGGAAAAAGAACCAATTAAAACCTACCAACTCAATACAGTCACTTTTGGCACTAAACCAGCTCCATATTTAGCAATATTTTCAACATTTGCCTTAGCCGAATTAGAAGAGAAACGTTTCCCAGAAGCAGCGAAAAGAGTAAAAACTGATTTTTATGTCGACGACTGTATGAGTGGAAGTCATTCAATCAAAGAAGCAAAAGAATTACAGCAACAATTAAATGGTTTGTTTCTCTCGGGGCATTTATTACTGAGAAAATGGGCATCAAATAATGAAGAAACATTGGAGGGAATACCAATGGAAGATCGTGCAATAAAACCATCATTGGAATTAAACAAAAATGAAACCATCAAAACTCTCGGAATGCATTGGTCACCCTCCACTGACATAATAAGCTTTACAATAGATTTGTCAAATTTATCACAGGAAAAGAGAATTACGAAACGTAAACTTTTATCAGATTCTTCAAAGCTATTCGACCCGTGCGGTCTCCTTAGCCCCATTACAATCAAAGTAAAAATTTTAATGCAAGAAATATGGAAAAGTGGTATTAAATGGGATAATTTAGTATCTGATGAAATTCAATTGGAGTGGAATAGATATCGAAGCGAATTAAAGTTAATCGAACAAATTAAAATCGAGAGATGGTTTAAATCTGGCCCAGAATCTCAAATATTTCTCCATGGATTTTGTGACAGTTCTGAAAGAGCTTATGATGCGTCAATTTATCTCATACAAAAAAGCAATCATATTACAACATCGACTTTAATTTGTTCAAAAACAAGGGTTGCACCCATTTCAAGTATAACCATACCAAGATTAGAGTTATGTGGAGCCCTATTATTGGCAACTTTAATGCACAGAACAATGAAAAATTTAAATATTGAGAAGAAATTCGTTCATTTATGGACTGATTCATCAATAGTAATCACATGGTTAAATTCGCATCCTTCCAAATGGTCAGTTTACGTCAGTCATCGAGTAAGTCGCATTCAAACGTTATTTGATGCACAACATTGGAGACATGTACGAACTTATGATAACCCAGCGGATATTGCCTCTCGTGGAGCGTTTCCAAGCGAATTAATAAACAATAATTTGTGGTTTCATGGTCCCTCATGGTTATTGCTCGAGGAAGATAGATGGCCAAAATTGGAGTTAAAATTACCGGTGGGAATAAATCTAGAAGAAAAAACACGCATCCATAATGTTAATATAAAAGAGACACCGAAAGAACTTGTATTTTTACGAAATTTTTCAAGTTTGAACCGATTATATCGAGTCACATCATACATGTTTCGATTCGTGTATAAAAATCTCATGCATAATGAAAAGTTAGATTATGCCAGCGGTTATATTACAGCGGCAGAAATAAAGCGAGCAAAATATGCATGGGTAAAATATATACAAAATTTACATTTTTATTCTGACATATCATCATTAAAAATAAAGGGATCAGTCAGCGAAAAAAGCGTGTTAAAACAATTGAATCCAGAAATAGATGAAAATGGAGTTTTAATTGTTTGCGGTCGTTTGGAAAAATCAAATTTATCATTAAGTCAAAGACGGCCAATCATTTTACCCGCTAAAAGTAATTTATCACAGCTAATAGTTGATTACGCGCACAAAGCAACACTACATGGCACAATACATCTAACATTAGCTCGTATACGTCAGGAATTTTGGATTTTGAATTGTCGAAATTTGGTAAAAAATCATATTCATAAATGTGTGAAATGTTATCGTCAAAAGCCAAGACCAATGCAACAGCTGATGGCTCCATTACCATTGGTTAAAACAGTACCATCTCGTGCATTTCTGCATTGTGGTTTGGACTTCGCCGGGCCAATAGACATTAAAGCATCAGATAAACGAAATGCACCCGTCATAAAAGGGTATATTTGTGTTTTTGTGTGTATGGTATCGAAAGCAGCACATTTGGAAACAGTTGGTGATTTAAGCACACAAAAATTTATAATGGCACTTCGCAGAATGATGTCACGTCGGGGATTAAGTAGCGATATATACTGCGATCAGGGCACCAATTTTCAAGGTGCCAGTAACGAATTGCCAAAACTATTTTTACAAGCACAGTCGACAGTATCAAATGAAATCGCTAGTTTATTTGCTTCTGATGGAATAAAGTTTCATTTCAACCCCCCTGGAGCTCCAAGTTGGGGCGGCCAATGGGAATCATTTGTGAAATTAACAAAATATCATTTACGCCGAATGACAACGTCAATCAAATTAACGTTTGAAGAAATGAGCACCCTTCTCACACAAATCGAAGCATGTTTGAATTCACGGCCTTTATGTGCAATTACAAGTGACATCGACGATTTAGACCCCGTTACACCTGGTCATTTATTAATTGGTTCACCATTGAATTTAATTCCCGAGCCAAGTTTACTATCACTAAAAGATAATACGCTTGATCGATTTCAAGCCATTCAAAAAGGATTACAAATATTTTGGAAACGATTTTATACTGAATATTTGTATTCACAACAGCCACGGAAAAAGTGGCATAAAACCAATGAAAATATAAAAACAGGGGATTTGGCAGTTATTATCGACGATAATATACCTCCAGCAAAATGGATTTTGGGCAGAGTCATTAGGGTACATCCTGGTTCCGATGGTTTGGTAAGAATGGCAACATTAAAGACTCGAAACGGAGAGTTACAGCGACCGATCGTTAAACTTTGTAAGCTTCCAGTGTCGGGACCCCCGGAGGATGTTCCAAATTGAACATAATTTAAGAAATTAGACTTAAGATTTTTTTTTATATATATATATTTTGTTTTAATTATTTCACTTAGTTCTGAAGTCTCATTTAAATATTACCGCTACTCGCTTCCTCTTCAACTTCAC